AATTAAGAATCTTACATTCACACAGAAAATATCAAAAAAGATAGTATGCACAAACTGCAGTACCTATAACTTCAGCTTTTCCTTTTTCTTGTCTCAGTTTTCTTCTTCGTAAAACTATAAATACAGTCAAAAGTAGAAGAATAGCGACTAACACAACTACCAGACTTCCCACGATTGCCCCAATTAATGCTGAGTTATTATCTGCCAATGTGGTTGTTTGAATAATCGTTTCTGTTATATTATACACGCCATTGTCTGTAGAGAATCCCTGGGTCACCAATGTCTCTGTTGTGTCTTTGGTAGTTTTATCCCATGCACTAAACATAAAATAAATATATATGTGTAAATATAGTTACAAGACTAGGACATTTTGCTGATTTGAATGATGAATATTTATCACTTACGTATTTCCACAGAACGGATCAGCAAGATAACAGTGATACTCTGTACTAATTCTTAAACAGGCGGGATCTAAATTAGAAGAATATTGAGAACATGTATGTAAATACATATTTAAAGTAATATAAGTAGGGTTTTTTAAGTTAAGGATGAGTATGACATTATTCTCCATAGACCAAGTTATGCTTACATCTGTACATTTCGTTAATGTGGACTTCTGTATCTGGACAGCCCATTAGGAAATGTGAGCAGTTAGTTTCTGACAGTTGATCGCCAGTGGTCTCCAAACAATTACCTAAATAATACTGAATTGTTAATTACTTGGTATATTGCGCAATCAATTAGATGTATATCATTTTTACTTTGTGTAATTTGGATGATGTAACATTTACATATCTCTTGTGTAACTGATTTAATCTATAGGCAAGAAAAAGGTTCCTTTAATCTATTATATTTAGTTTCGTCACTCTTGATAACTCATTCTAAACTAACACTCATGGCAGAGAACTTTTTGGCAAATTCATTTCTATAAATTTCATCAAATTCATTTTAATTAGTATTTTTTTTTTATTTTTTGACACTAATCTTAAGAGTTCAACCCACTTTTGAAAACTTCAACATTCACCATAACGTTAATAAAAATAAGCACATGTACTATGGCTGTTATTTTACTTGTGCATTCCTTATCACATGATCTTCCTTTGGATACCAACGATTTTGACTTTTTGACCTTGGAGTTTGACTGGCATGTAAGAAAGTTCAATCCTTGCCTAAGCTGCCATATTGGGTATCAGTTTTAAAAACGCAATGTATTAAATAACAAAAATTAAATTTGATCACTCACCTCTCTCCAATATCCCCATGACTCCATCGTGACAGAATTCTACCAGACCCGTCTTTTCTGAGTTCGGGAGACATAAGTACTGTTTGTTACCATACTTGTCTTGACCACAGCCCAGTCTGGCAGAGGCTATCAATGTTTCTGTCAGCTTCTGGGGACAGGAGACCACTACACCAGTCATTACTGTACAGAAAAAAGTCACATGCAGAAAATTGCAAAGAAGATTCATCTTCAACATGTTAAAGAGAAACATTTACTTTCAAAGATATTTTCACTCAAAATAAAATTGTAATTCGTAATATTAGAGTGTAGGTCATATAAACTTTCAAATTTGTCTCTGTGATTACTCTTTGAAAGTTAGGTGGTTGATTTCTTTATAATTTCATTTGAATTTAAAGAGCTACAGCCACGAAGTGCCAAAATATGCCCTGTCCCCAAAATAAATGAAATTTTACTCCGTGATAGGTTAGACTTTGTGGGTTATAACACAATTTATTTTTTAGTGATATCTTTTCCAGTTCTCTTTTTATAGTCGTTTGAAAATGGTATTGTTTCAAGTAAAATCTACATGTATAATGTCATGACTTTTGACGTTATATATATACGCATGTATATTGTAACGGTATGACGTTAACGTTATTTAAATGAAAGTAATTATATCTACATTATCGGAAGGGGGATCCGTTAAAATAAACCCTACCTAAGAATTTGGGAAATTTTATCAAAGGACCGTTCAGAAGTTTTGAATCATGAGATAAATACAATATCATGTAGCTAGCTAGTTTTTGCTTTGATTAAAAAAAGTGTCAAATACTGTTATTATACCCGCACTTTCTAAAGAAAGTTCGGGTATATTGTTGTTACTCATGTCCGTCCGTCCGTCCGTCCGTCTGTCACACTTTCTTCCCTGAACTCCTCCTACATTTTACACAGTAGCTTAATCATCTTTTAAGAGATGGTTGGTGGTGTCATGTAGATGTGCAGTAAGGTTTCGGAATTTTGATTTTGCCCCGGGGGGTCAAATGGGGGTCGAAAAATGACGTTTTTTGTGCAAAAAGCCCCGTCTTCCCTGAACTCCTTCTACATTTAACTCAGCAGCCAAATCACCTTTTGGGGGATGATTGGTGGTGTCATGTAGATGTGCAGTAAGGTTTCGGAATTTTGATTTTGCCCCGGGGGATCAAATGGGGGTCGAAAAATGACGTTTTTTATGCAAAAAGCCCCATCTTCCCTGAACTCCTCTTACATTTTACTTAGCAGCCTAATCATCTTTTGTGGGATGATAAGTGGTGTCATGTAGATGTGCAGTAAGGTTTCGGAATTTTGATTTTGCCCCGGGGGGTCAAATGGGGGTCGAAAATGACGTTTTTTGTGCAAAAAGTCCCGTCTTCCCTGAACTCCTTCTACATTTTACACAGGATAAAAAGCCAGGTTTCCCAAATTTGGAAACCCGATGGAAACATATGGGAATCGTGACATCAGTAGTTTCCATATAGTTTCCATTTTATGGAAACCACATAGTGGTTTCCACATAGATTCCCGACATGGAAACAATCAACCTGTGGTTTCCCGTAAGTTTCCCAAGATAGGAAACCATGGAAACATACCCCGGTGGTTTCCACATAGTTTCCCGACATGGAAACAATCAACCTGTGGTTTCCCGTAAGTTTCCCAAGATAGGAAACCATGGAAACATGCCCCGGTGGTTTCCATGTAGATTCCCGATATGGAAACAACAAACCTGTGGTTTCCCGTAAGTTTACATTACCCTTGATACCTCGAAGTGGCTGTGTGTATACCAAGTTATAATGTTCAAACTTTTGCCATAACTGTATGTCTGTGTGTCTGTCTAAGTGTCTGTGGTCAACTTAAACCTTCACCATAACTTTAGAACTATACGAGATAGTGGCTTCATATTTAGTATGCATACTCCACTAATGAAGTGCTTTCAAATGGCAACAAGGACAATGATTATGTGATCTTGACAGTGACCTGTAACAGTATGCTAAAAAAAATTGCACTTTCCAGTCTTCGCGCTTAACTTTTTTGACTACAAGCCCGTAGGGCAAGTGAAAGTATAAAATTTGGTAGCCCAAACAAAATTTTACTAGCCCAACTCAAGAGTAATAACAAATGAACAAATGACTTTTTAAAAAGTGCAATCACATTCGCATTTCTGATTTAATTCAATTTGATCACTAAACGTTCAAAACCACGAGTAATCATTGTAATTGTTGTAAACACTTTGCTGCATCAGTCAACAGTGTGACATGCACACATCTTTAAATAAATTAAAAATACTTACAGTAAGATTATGAACATTTAACTCTGTATCTAGGTTTTAGAACAGTTGATATCATATATTTATTACTCTTTTATTTATTTATAAGAAAATAAGGCCATTAGGGGTATTTCGGTGATTCCAAGGGGCATTTCGGTGATTCGTAGTAGAAAATGTATGATGATTCAGGATGTGGTCATTTGGTAAGTGGTAATTCATTCATAATTAGTATGTATATGTCAATTGCCTGAAAAAAAAAAGATTCTAAATTTTATTTAAATACTGAACTGTGGTATATCAGCTGTGAGCTACAAGAAGTTTTATGTAAAAGCTAGGGTTGAAACAATTTGCCCCCTCCATGTTATGTGTGTATTGCTATGATTGACATACAATCAGTTCTCTAATACAAACACTTCAATAAAACTTTGTCGTCTTGAACCTGAATTGAACAGGAAAAAACTCTGAGATCTCTACAAAAATTTGAATGAAAAAAAGGAAATGCTTATTAACTGATTTCTTGCTGGTCAGTATTTTGATTACTTAAAGGAAGCTCTAAAAACTGCACACTAAAGAGTTCTACTTTAATATCAGGTAGTTTTATGAAGTTAAAGTGATCTGCCCATAGATTAAGATTATGAAAAATGTTATTTTACAGTCAGTTAGATTATTTTTAATAGATTAAATTATTTTTAGCATTATTTAAAAAAAAAATAGGAAATTAATTATTTTCTTAAATTTTCCAATGTAAGTAAACAGCAATGATTTCTGCTTACAGTCATAGTCCATTGTCTTTGAAAATTTCTTTGGGAAATGAGGCACATACTATATGTTCTAAATGAATAAAAAAGGCTCATTATGCACATATTTATGTGAAATATGATAGATTTTTTTCTCTTCAAGGAATAATTTCTGCAAGTCACTAAGTTTTTAGAGTTTCCTTTATTTTATAGATATTCAATGAAATTATTTGAAGTATTAAATTTTGGTAAATTTTATGATACTAAAAGGTTATATGGATGAAAAAACAGCATGCGTGTATGACAATAGGGCTTAAATTTTTAATGTCTCTTAATTTTTCAGTGACAGTAAAACAGGAATTGTCATCACCAATAGACGAATTTCACATTCCTAAGAGTTTCCTCCAATTGTCGGCGTATCGCTCATTTTCCCCACTTTGTCCTTTGTAAGTTACTTGTTAATATTTTCAATCTTCAAAAATATTGGACAATTACGATCTGTATCTGTATTGCCAGAGTATGGGGGCAACATGCAAGTCATAATGATAATGTTCATACAGATTTTATTTCTAAGATATTGTCCCTCAAAGTTGATACGGTTAAAGAGGGAAAACAGCGTCTTAAGCAGGTTGACCCCAGATCGACCCTGCGAAGGGGAATAACTTTTGTAAATGTGAAAGTCCTTTGTGGTATATCATATAGATCTAAAACTGACTGAATTTTGATCAGCCAATTCATGAACATGATGAATGGATGTAAATAATGTTGGTCAATATATGTAAAAAAAATTAAATTACTTGATTATATATACATTTGTGGTATCTCTCCCATTGAAGTTTATAAACTTGTTATTTATTTCTTAAATAGACTGAGCGTACATGCAATACCGGTATAAAATTACTCATAAGATACATGTATACTTAAACCATGATAAAATCATATGTGTCCAATGCAGCATATGATAAATCATTAACATACAAGTACATGTGTATATATACTGTAAAACATATATATTGCATTATTTTTAGGTCCTGTTCTGTGGATGCCCTTAGACAGTGTCTACCCATCACTCCATCTGAAATCACTCGTTCTGTGCATATTTCTCTCTCAAACTTAAACTGTGGATAGAGGATGAAGAGTGACCTTGGACTAATTTTCTAGGTCAAAGGTCAGTATCAAAATCTACTGTATATCTTTTTTTAAAATCGTAGTCCAAAGTGTATTTCTCCCCTGGTGTAATCTAGCTTTTGTGCAATGGGGTGGAGGGTCTGCAATGATCTTCAACCAATTTCTAGGTCGAATATCAAAATTAAAAAAAAAATCTCTCCCTAATATTTTTGTCATTATAAAGGGTACTGTATACAGGGAAATTTTTGGCCCACGTTTTATTTTCGCCCCTTTCGCCCTACCCTCATTTGGGCCAATTTAAAACGGGGCGAGTTCAAAGAATACAGTAATATTTCGTTAACAATAACTATGACTGGGCGAATTTAAAACGGGACAAAATTTTTCGCAAGTGTGAAAGGGCGAAAATAAGACGGGGCGAAAATAAGTTATAGTTACACTATAGATATTAATTGGTTAATGGTAAATACACTCACAGTTTTTAACTCACGAGGGGCGGAGCCCCGAGTGAATTAAAAACTGTGAGTGTATTTACCATTAACCAATTAATATCTATTGTGTAAGTTACTTGTATCAGAGGACCAATGAGAGAAAAGCTGCTTGACAGTTAGCACCGCCCACTTTATCCTGTCAAGCCATGGTCCGGAGGCTGTATAAATACCTTTCTCCATCTGAACCGATTGTATTTTGAATGCTGCGTCTGGGGTATCGTCGATAAAAAAAAAATCGGAATGAAATTGTCATTATTGGGTACGTGTGAAGATGTTACAGCTTAGACAGAGGGCTTGATTTTGTCAGGAACAGAGGTAGCGATCGTAAACTATTTTATTTTAGGCTGTTATTCCTTTCGAAGATCGATTTTTTTTGGGGGGGGGGGTTCAATGGAAAACCGCCGATTAAACTTTTTATATATAGCGACCAATGTACAAAAACCGTGAAATGATTTCTGACATTTTAATGAAAGTTTAAATGGTACGTACTGAAAGCACAGGCGTCTGAAGCTAATTGAAATGGGGGGGGGGGGCTACACCAACAGGGAAAGGTAAACCCCAGTTTTAAATGCCTATATATTATGTCTTATCTTTGCAAAAAAAGTAGCCCCCCCCCACAGTTCCGACGCCTATATCAAGTAAAAAACGGGGGCCTTTAACATGTTTAATGTGAAATTACTATTTGGAGACAAGAATAAGAATTGAGGCAATTCGAGATAGAAAGTATAACAGGATACGCTTAATAAAATACTAAGCGAATGTCGACAAATTAATGTTAGTATTCTTGAAGTTTAAATGTTGACTAAACTCATTTATCAGTTATTGCCAAGGTTTTGAAATTAGCATCATTCATTCATCAGTCAAGGTCTTGTTACATTATGGCTTGATGCCAAATTGTGGGCATGACTTAAAAACTGTGTTTCTTCTGGCAAATACACCACAGCAACATCAAAGTAAAATCTGAATTTACCGCCAGTCCTATGGTACAACCCTGTATACAGTATGTTTTCTCTCAAACTAATCAAACTTAAAGCAGGGTTCTTAGTATGAGATACATGTAGTAATATATTCTCAATGACATAATAAGGCTGAAAACATTATTTATATTATGTTATTTTTTTCACTATCATAAAGTATTAAATATTGAAGAGATACATTAAATGCTGAAATCATATATATCATGGTCATGGAAAGTAATTATTGATATTGGTATATTAAAGGACATTGACTGAGCTTTAAGATTTCTAAGTTATATTCAAGCATTATAATTCTGACATCATATAATAATTTTGTATGAATATTGCAGATCATAGGTGATGTGAAGAGAACCAGGAAACTGATGTTGAAAGAAGTACTTAATGACCCTTATGAATGGACTTAAATGTGAAAGACTGTTCCATTGTTTATCTAAGATATATGAATTTATTTAATATTTTGATATCATTGAAAAATTCAGTTACAGTTTTTGTACATCAAATGAATTATTAAACATATAAAATGGTAATGCTTTTTTCTTTTACATGTAATAAATTTTTTTGATAGATTTTTGAAAGAATACGCATTATTTCACATTGCTTCCTTTAGAAAAGTTAGGGAATCTTGAAGTTTCCCAGTAATTTCCACCAGGAATGAGACTCCAGATAATTCCACCAAGTTTCCGCCACACAGAAAGTGCTACACAAGTTCCATATAGTTTCCTGAGTCAAGGAAACTTCAGGAATCATAAGGTTTCACGAGCTTCCATGTAGTTTCCCATAAAAGAAAACCTTAAGATTCCATCAAGTTTCCATTCCGCGGAAACCACTACGCTCAAATTCCATATGGTTTCCTGAGTCAAGGAAACTTTAGGAATCGTGAGGTTTCCCGAGCTTCCATGTAGTTTCCCGTATAAGGAAACCTAAAGATTCCATCAAGTTTCCATTCCACGGAAACCCCCTACGCTCCAATTCCTTATGGTTTCCTGAGTCAAGGAAACTTTAGGAATCGTGAGGTTTCCCGAGCTTCCATGTAGTTTCCCGTAAAAGGAAACCTAAAGATTCCCCCAAGTTTCCATTCCACGGAAACCCCCTACGCTCCGATTCCATCAAGTTTCCTGATTCAGGAAACCAGTGGAATCTTCAGGTTTCCCATTACAGGAAACTACATGGATGTTCGGGAAACTTCAGGTTTACAGAGGTTTCCGTGGTTCGGGATACCTTATGGAATCGGAGCGTAGGGGGTTTCCGTGTCACGGAAACTTGGCGGAATAACCTAGCATCCGCTACGGAAACCACTGGGAAACATGATGTAAACTTGAGGTTTCCATGTGGTTTCCATAAAGTTTCCCATGATGGGAAACCACTTTTTTTCACCCAGTGTTACTCAGCAGCCTAATCACCTTTTGGGGGATGTTTGGTGGTGTCATGTAGATGTGCAGTAAGGTTTCGGAATTTTGATTTTGCCCCGGGGGGTCAAATGGGGGTCGAAAAATGACGTTTTTTATGCAAAAAGCCCTATCTTCCCTGAACTCCTCTTACATTTTACTCAGCAGCCTAATCATCTTTTGTTGGATGATTAGTGGTGTCATGTAGATGTGCAGTAAGGTTTCAGAATTTTGATTTTGCCCCGGGGGGTCAAATGGGGTTCGAAAAATGACGTTTTTTGTGCAAAAAGTCCCGTCTTCCCTGAACTCCTTCTACATTTTACTCAGCAGCCAAATCACCTTTTGGGGGATGGTTGGTGGTGTCATGTAGATGTGCAGTAAGGTTTCGGAATTTTAATTTTGCCTGGGGGGTCAAATGGGGGTAGAAAAATGACGTTTTTTATGTAAAAAGCCCCATCTACCCTGAACTCCTCTTACATTTTACTTAGCAGCCTAATCATCTTTTGTGGGATGA